GCTGCGTTCTGCTGACACATCTCTGCTCTCTCTCCTGCAGCACCCGTGGACCTTCCCCTCTGCAGGGCTCTGTGTCGCGAGCATTGGTGTCCAGAGCCTACAGCACCTCTGTGCCACGGGCTGGACTGTGTGTTTGGCAGAGCACAGCTCCGGCTTAGTTCCCAAACTCTGGAGACGGGCAGAAAGATAACAAACAGAGAACCTGGCAGGATCCCACCTCTGCTTTCCTGCTCACAACGTCTTCCCCTTCCGGGAGACTGTGGCTGCCATGGCGACACTGGGCAAACACTCCCTGGATTGAGGCCCGGGGAGCCGTTCTGCGGGGCTCGTGTCCCCAGGGAGGAAAGGACAGACGCAGCCACACTGCCAGGGCCTGGGCGCAGCTCCCTGGGCGCCGGCCACCCCTGTCTGGAACCAGACTCCTCCGGGCTGCCACCCGCCTGCGCCCCGGGTCCACCCGCCTGGCGAGGGCGGTTTGGAAACAGCAGCAATAGCTCTGGGCAGCTGTTCGTACGGCTGAGCGGAGGCAAGTTAGGGAAGGAGGGCTCAGCAGAGGGAGACCGGCCCGCTGCTCTTCGCGCTCTCTCAGAACCCCTTTCCAGATCGGTCTGAGGCTTCTCAGATGGCTCCTGCAGCTCTGAAGAGCAACTCTCTCTCACTGCGCTTGTGTGTTTCTCTTTTAAAGGTGAAGACAATGGACAAGGGAGAGGAAAATGCTTCCAGTGAGGAAACAGCTGACATTCTCATGGAAAATGGGAGCAGCGGTACAGAGGAATATCATCCAGAGCTGGAGAAAAACGAGAAAGGTAGCCTGCCTGCTCTATTTGCATGTGTCAGGGTCTTTCCAGAAGGATTTGTCAGCACTTTATCTATCTTAGGAACGGAGTGCGTCATCAAAAATATCCAGTGGACCGCAGGCAACAACTTCACAGTGGAGAGAGGACGGCAGCAGATTGAAGAATTCATTTCTGTGAGTGACAATTCCGTCCATTCAGGAAGGTCACGCCTTCTCACTGTTGAGGACGGTGAAAAATTGAAGGAGAGTGCCTCAATTCCTTTTTAGCCCCTTCCTCAAGTCACCTCTACTAGACAGAGGGAACCTTAGTACCACCTGTTTGTTCAGCAGACATGGGAGGTTCACGAAAGCTGGCTCCACTGGACAGAGTTTCTCCAGGAAGAAGAACTGAAGTACAGCAAGAGGTACCGTTACAGGGTTTGCTGGAGCGTCCCAACACGCCGGAAACCCATCCCACGAGCAACAGCAAGCGTCTACTTCATTATAGAGATCTCCAAAATCAAGCCTGCTGTAAGTACTCAGAAAAGGCACGTGCCAACCCAGTAAGGGACAAGAGTACAGGGGGGTCTCCCAAGGCAGGGGGACGCCAGGGCAGCGGAGGGACCGGCCAGGAGCCGGCAGCTCTCACAAGAGACGCTGGCAAGGCCCGGGCATTGCCAGAGCAACGGCGGGAGATTTAAACGCGGTGTAACAGAAACGAGCAGTCAGTCGCTGAGGGGAGCAGAGCACAGAGCCCGAGGATGGTTTAGTTCCCAAAGTGTGGAGACCGGCAGAAACTTGACAGAGAAGCTGGCAGGATCCCACATCTGCTTTCCTGCTCATACCGTCTTCCCCTTCCAAGTAGCAGCAATCGCTCTGGGCAGCTGCAAGCAGAGCTGAGCAGAGGGGAGTTACAGAATGAAGGGTCAGGAGAGGGAGACTGGCCCGCTTCATGCTCAGAACCCCTCTCAAAATCAGCCTGAAGTTTGTCGCCTGTACAATAATATGTTGCAGCTCAAGAGAAAAAAAGAAATAAATTGCACTG